ACACATCTGATAAAGGGCTAATAACAAGAATCTACGTAGAACTAAAAAAAAATCAAACAACCCCATCAATAAATTGGCAAAAGACATGAACAGAAACTTTTCAAAAGAAGACAGAATAATGGCCAGCAAACATATAAAAAAGTGCTCAACATCTCTAATCATCAGGGAAAGGCAAATCAAAACCACAATGAGGTATCACCTAACTCCAGTGAGAATGGCTTTTATCAAAAAATCCCCAAACAACAAATGCTGGTGAGGATGTGGAGAGACAGGAACACTCTTACACTGCTGCTGGGACTGCAAATTAGTGCAACCTCTATGGAAAAGAATTTGGAGATACCTCAAAGAGCTAAAAATAGAACTACCATTTGACCTAGCAATAGCACTATTAGGTGTCTACCCAAAGGAACAAAAGTCATTCAATAATAAAGACATCTGTACCCTATGGCAGAACAATTCACTATAGCAAGGATGTGGAAATAACCCAAGTGCCCGTCAATCTATGAGTGCATTAATAAAATATGGTATATGTATACAACAGAATACTACTCAATTATAAAAAACGATGGTGATCTAGCACCTCTTATATTTTCCTGGATAGAGCTTGAGCCCATCCTCCGAAATGAGGTATCACAAGATCGGAAGAATAAGCCCCACTTGTACTCGCCACCAAACTGGCACTGACTGATCAACACTATGGTGCTCACACAGTAGTAATATTCTTTGGGGTTTGGGGGATTGGGGTGGGTAAACTCACCACTGATGGGCACGGTGAGTGTTGAAGGGGGTAAGGGCACGCCTCCAATCCTGATTTAGGAGAGGCAAAGTCATAACATGTAATCAAAATGTTTGTACCCCTATAATATCATGAAATAAAAAAATAAATTCATATTTTTCATGTGGATAAAAGAAAAAATAAGGACAAAAGATGATCTTCTCACCCCTGTGGCTCAGGAAACCCCAGGGATTTAGGAGCTCTGTACCAGGAACCAGAATGAAGCATGTATTTCTTATCTTAATATCACAACTCCTGCTATAAAATTTTATATTTTTCAGTAAAATACACTGACACTGCTCACTGGATCTTCACTCACGCCCTGATCCGGCAGGGGAGGAGGGGTACCGGTGACCAGTGGGGAGGCGGGGCCTGGACACGGTGCCTTGGATGCAGCTGTGCCGACATTGGTGTTTGCGGAGTGAACAAAGGAGCGGTGGCGCGGGCGGTGAGGCGCCGGCTGGTGTGCTCTGCTGCAGAGTGGGGCCTGGAGCCCAGGGCCCTGTGCCGTCCTGCCCTCGCTCGGGCAACAGAGCCAGGAGTGCAGCAGGTCCAGACCAGCTGGCGCCGTGCTACAGAGCCGGTAAAAGAGGGCTCTGTGGGGGGAGGGAGGGCAGAGCAGACACGCAGTCCCCAGCCCCAGCCCTGGCAGGAGACCCGGAAGACTTCTCGCTGAGCAGCCCTGGTTGCGCTGCGGCCAGAGCGTAGTTCACATGTTGGACTTGTCGGAGCTGCTGCCTCCCTGGTCCCTTTCCATCCCATCTCCCCACACCCCTGTCCACCACACTCACAAGTCACTGTTTTCCAGCCTTGAGTTGCAGCTGTTGAGATTTGAGACTTCAGAAAGCGTTAATGCAATCCCTTCATAATCTAGTTATGCTCCGCCTTTCCCAGGCCTCATCTCCCCCTGCCCCCAACCCAACCCTTCCTTTGTTCTGGTTTTAAAACATCTGTAAATTTGTGACCCTCCTCCCATTGCGAGGTAGGGTCTATGTCTCCTCCCTCTGAACCTGGGCCAAATTAGAAACTGGCTAACCAATAGGACACTGTAGAAGGGATTCTAGGAGACTGTCAAGGCAAGGTCATAAAAGGAAATGCAGCGTCTACCTGTTCTCCCAGCACTCTAACTGGGAGCCTGGCCACATGCTCTGAGCAAGCCCAGGCAGCCGCGTGGAGAAAAACCGAGGCCCTTGCCCCCAGCCCCAGCTGAGCTCCCAGGTGACCCCCAGCTGCGTTCCCTCGCCAGCCATGAGAGGGACCCTGTGGGAGGCGGATGCGCCAGCTGCCAGCTCCCGACTCCCGTTTAGCTCCTGGCTGGCGCTGCTGGGCCTGTCAAAATTGCAGCAGGATTTGAGACGTGGGAAAGACCACCCAAGAGCAAGCTGGACCGCTCTTTGTCTCCTAGCTCTTCAACGTAAAGTCACAACACATATTCCCTCCTGACTGGCGTGGCCTAGGGCGAGGGAACAGGTGCACAAGCCCTGAGGTTCTGACTTGCAGAGATCTGACTTAAGGACTGACAATCCCCGTAGCTCTGTGCCCAGTTGCCCTTTCTTCCTGCTAAGAAATCCCTTACCAGATTTAACCCACCTCTGAAGTCCTCTGCCCTTCCCAGCACCCCCAGACTCCTCACCCAAATCCCTGGGATGTCTCACAATTCTGCAGCAGTAAGAGGGGCCAAGACCCTAAAAAATTAGAATTTGCCAGAGTCAACAATGCATGCATAGCAGTATGTTCAAGAGTTTTTTAAAAGATATTTTTCTCTGTATGACTGGTTAGGGCACTCTTATGGGGGCCATACCTTGGTAGGTCTTTCTACAGATACAATATTACATTACCCACCATTCTAATATCAGTGTTTTTCTTCACAAGTACTTTGAGGGCTTCTGAAGCATGTCTAGGGCCTGTGAGGTCCCCAAGTCACCACTGTGTCTGTGACACAAGCAGAGTGAGCAAGGAAGGAGCTTTCTACACAGCTGTCATGTTCAACACATTGCGTGAGTTGGAGACTTTCATGAGCAGGGCGCTAAACTGCGTGGGGGCAGGTTCTGGGGCATCAGAAGCTTGTATAATTTCGGGGTAGTTGTCTATAAAAGAGAGAATGCAAATTACAAATGCAAATATAGATACAAAGGTGAGTATTTATTATCAAAGGTAGGGTCTTGAAGGGATATTTGCACATCCATGTTCATAGCAGCATTATTCACAATAGCTAAGAGGAGGAAGCCACCCAAGTGACCACTGACAGATGAATAAAATGTGGGCGATACATATCATGGAATATCATGCAACTTTAACCCGGAAGGATGTTCTGATTCTTGCTGCAATATGGATAACCTTTGAGGACATTGTGCTGAGTGAAATATGCCCGTCACAAGAGGACAAACACTGTGTGATCCTACTTCTGGAGGTGCGTGGTGCAGTCCAAATCACAGAGACAGGAAGCAGAATGGTGGCTGCCAGGGGCTGGGGCGAGGGGGGAGCCGCTGTTCAGTGGGAACAGAGTTCCAGTTTTACAAGATGAAGAGCTCTCGAGACGGATGACAGTGATGAATAATTTACTGACACTGAACTGTACACTAAAAAGTGGTTGGGATGGTAAATTTTATGCTGTGTGTATTTTCCCGCCATAAAAAATTGAAAAAGGTGAATATTTATTCAGTTTTAAAATTAATTACAAATTTTAAGCTGATGAATAACATCAAAATCACAAAACCAAGAGAAATTACATATTCTTTTTATTAACTGTCCAACACATCTCTGCAGTATTTTTTTCTAAATTTGTTTGATTTGTAGTCTTGAAAAAATATACAAAATTAATCTGAAATTAAGGCATTCACAGGAACAATTCAGATGCACTTAAACATTGCTGTCGGGATGTACTGAGCCACATAACTGTGTAACCAGATTACTCTGATACTACAACATTGGCTTATTGATGGATACATGTAGGAGTTTTGTCACTAGAACACTTGCTTCTTCAAGCATTCACTGCGTTGGTGGCAATTTTGCATACCATTTTGCTGGAACCACCAGATTTTGTCAATACATGCTTCGTCGGTCACACTAGGAGGCGATCTGACACGTGGCATGGGTATGGCTGCACACCAGAGGCCCCACGTGGCATTGCTCCCAGGTTTGGGGGCACAAACACAAGAATTTTGATCAATTCCATTTTGTGTGGTTCCCATCAGAAAAGAAAGCAATATATGGTGTGTTTGTAATTATATTCATTCAATATCAACTATTTTCCTACCAAGAGAGAACTTCTGTCTTGGGCAGGCCTTGATGGGAACAGAATCCGCTGCTAACAATTTTACGTTCAGGTCTGACAGAATTCTCCGCAGACTGGCTCCTGGCTCAGCTATTTGGCCCTCCCCCCACCTCCTGCTGTGCTGGAAACTACAGGGCGTCCCCAAACCGTGGCACAAGCTCCAGGCTGTGCCTGCCTGTGGGGACGAGTAGCCCGGATGCCTTCCTATACTGCTCTGGGGCAGGTGGCTTGGAATGGCCTGCGAGCTGCAGCAACATACCCCACTAAGCCCAAATATCTCCCCAACTCACCTTTCTCTTAGCTGAAACCCCCAATGCTCACAGCCACCCTGGCGTCATCCTGCTCAGGGACATTCACACAGAGAAGTCTGGATGGAGAGGGACGGAGGTCTTGACCAATTGTGGCCCACCATCTTACTTTTGCATATTTCTCAGAGCCGTCTGGCCATCGGAACATGCTGCTAGGAACCCTCCTGCGAGAGGGAGTGAGGCCCCGAAGCTTCATGGGCTGCAAGCAAACGTGTCCCCAGCCCAGGCCAAGAGCAGGTGAGGGGTGGGGGCAGGGTCCAGGGCTGCTGCCTTCTCTCTGATCTGGCCAGAAGGCACCAGGCCTGGAACCCAGGCTGGAGTCCCAGCCGAGAGGACTTGTCACAGCTCTTGGTCGATCTTGTGCGAACCTGGCTGCACCCTGCTCTCAGGTGCAGAGGCTGCCCTAGACGAACGGGCTGCCTCTTTAAAGCAGAGGGTGCTCTGGCCCTGCGGGAAGGCGCTGTATCAGGGCAATCCTGCTGAGGTCACCCCCTTCCCCCGCCGTGGCCCCTCCCTTCTGCCGTCAGGGATTAGAGGAGAGGCCAAGGAAGGATTACAGGGGTTCATTTTGTCTCAATTCTCCCTTACTGGGCCCCTCTGCCAGAGGCCTGCTGGGCTGCAGGCTGGAGAGAGCCCTCCCCAGCTGCTCGGCTGACAGGCTGGGAAGCCCCGCTCGCCAGGGACCAGAAGGCAGAAGGTGGGGACGTCCTGAGGGCCTGGGGGCAGGCGGACCGCACTCGTGGTCTGGGGCTCACCTGTCTTCTCCCTGCACCGCCGCGGCAGGAGCACCATGCCTGGGCCCCCCAGCTTCCAGCCCAACCCTGGCTGCACCCACATCGGGGTTCCTTGGCCGCAGCGAGTAGCAGCCTGGGCTCCCCTGCGAAAGGCGGCGGCCGTCCTCTGGCTGCTGCTCCTTGGCACCTCCCTGTCCCCCACGCGGGGCCAGCCCAGGATTCCTCTGGAAATGTAAGCATCATGTTCAACCCCACCCTGGAACACCCTCTGCCCTTCCCCACTGCCTTCCCGCAGAGCCAGCCCTCTGCCCGCTCTCCCGCCTTGCCCTCCCTCTGGGCTGCTGCGCTCGCTCCTGCCACAAGGACCTTTTCTTCACTGGCCTCCTCTCCTCCCGAAAGCTCTGCTGACTTTGGAATCCCACCCACCCCTCCCTGGAAGCCAGATGGCTTCGGGCAGACCTGACCACAGGGCCCACATGCATCTCTGCATGGCCGGGGCTCTGGAGCTCATGCAAGGCAGACGCCCCTTCCTGGGTGGTCCCTGGAGGGGAGTTAGGTTCCGTGGTCACCACCACACTGCAGATTGTTGGGAAATTTGTATTTTGACATTCCAAAAGGGTGGAGCAGTTCTGAACCTGCAAACAGAAGGTGGCTTGTCCAGGAGCTAAGAAAAATTGGATTTTGGTGGCCTGAGTCTTTCCTTTCTGTACCTTTTTGCCTGCTTAGGCCTTGATTCTACACCCTGCCCTTAATAGCAGCTCTAGGAAGGAGTCTAGTATCAGTCATTCACACCCTGGAATAAACTTAAATTACTGCACAAGCCCTCTGGGGTGTTTGTTGATCAGGCCTTCGCTCTGGCAGCTCTAGGAAAGAAATTTCCAACACACATGGGGAGCAACTGAACGGTGCCACCGACTGAGTCTGCTCTGCTCCAGCCACTCCGGCCCAGCAGAATAGCAGGGCCAGCTGTCAGCTACGTCTTGTGGGAAGTGGGGACAGGGACCCCAAACAACGTTTGTGTTAGCGTCTGTGTTCAGCCTCCCGAAGCCGCGCTCGACACCAGCCGCAGCGCCTCTCCTGCACGCGAGGCGCTGTGCGTGCCACTTCTGCGTGCCACTTCACGCGGGACGCAGCTGTGCGCACAGCAGTTCCGCTAGGTGGGAACGTGACCCCTATTTTGCAGTCGAGGAAACAGGCTCAGAGAGGCCAGGCGACTTCCTCAAGTTCGCACGCTAGTAAATAAAAGTGCAGCGCTTTCAGTGGGGCCGCACTCCACGTCCTGGCCGCTCCAGGCTGCGGAGCTGTCGGGGGTGGAGGGAGATGCTCGCAGCAGTTATCGCACGCTCCAACAGACAGTGGGGGGCAAACTCCAGGAGTAGGCTGAGGGCAAGCACAGATGGCTGGGCTCCCGGCCTTCCTAGAGGACAGCCCGAGAGCAGACTGTGCATGCGGAAACCCCAGGATCCAGCTGAGACGACAGTCTGCAGACACGGCCACAGCTGCCCACCTGTGCCTGGGGGCCCCAGTCTCCGCCAAAGCCCCTGGCCCCACTCCCTCCCTCCTGCCAGGTCCCTCCTTTCAATCTTTGCCTCTCATGTGCAGCCACTTGCCCCCTCCCACCTGCCCAAGCTCCCACTGCTCTACCAAATCTGTCCTGGACAAGACCACCAAAGACTCCACTGCCTGGTCCAGTCGGCATCTCTTGTCTTGTCTCCCCAGACCCCTGCTGCTCTGGACACTTTAGACACTGGCCACCTGCCGCCTGGACTCCCAGTGCCTCACCTTCTGTAACACCGCACTCCGCGGTTCTGGGGCACCTGAGTTCTCCCTCTGTCTTCTTCCAGGGCTGTTTCCCCTCTGCCTGCCCTGAAATCGTTGGTGTCCCTGGTGTTTGTCGACACATGGATCTTCCCGTGCTACACACCCTACCCGCCTTCATACCCTCAGACTTTCAATTCTTGCCCGTGTGCTAGTGGCTCTCAGCCCTGTCTCTGCCTGTTGGACTTACGTACCCAATGCCTGTGGACAGCTCTTCCGAACATCTTGCGAGGTTTCACATTTAAGTTTGTGTCTTTCAAGTTACCGCGGGATTGTGCCTTCTGGAGTTGCGCAGAGCACAACCTGCCCAGCGCACTCGGCAGCCCTGCAACGGCACTCGCACAGCAGCCCAAGCCACCCTGCTCGCCAGCACCCTCCCAAGCCTGCTCCCCTACCTTCTTGATAGCCTTGATTTCACTCGATAACACCACCCAACCTGGAGAGCCAAAAGTAACTTTTGACTCCTTCAAGCTTTTCTGTGCTCTCTACCTAGAATTCTCTTCCAGTTCTCTTTGCCAGGCTAGCCTCTACCCGCCTTCTCACACTGACCTCCGGCCCCGTCCCTCCACCACTGCCCTCCCCCAGCTTCCCCGGAGCCCCTTCAGATATGCACTGTGCCATCTGCCCCTGAAGGCCGTCCTCTCACTGGGGGCTTTGCAAAGGCGAGGACGGTAGCCCCAGGCTGCACACAATGCCCGGCACATAGTAGGACCTCAGTGAGTATTGGCTGAGGGGCTGAATGAGTGTTGATCTCGACATTCTTCTCCTGCACCTGAAGAGGCTCAGACGCAGTCCCACGTGCAGCCCCAGAGCCCACGGGCCTGGCCCAGATGGCGGGTGGCGGTGTGCTCCCAGGGCATGGCTCAGAGCTCAGGGCGCCCCTAGGCTGCCTGGAGCAAGGTCAAAGTGTCTCTCCTTGGGCCATCCCTGCCTGCCCTGCCTCCTTGCCTCACGCTGTCTCTGAAGCTTCGCGGAGGGCCCTGCCGTCCCCAGCAGCAGAGGGTGGGGAAACACTGGGGTGAGAGACTCATCGAGAAGCTGCAGCTGTGCCCAGGCAGTTGCGGTTTCTCCTTGGGGTCCTGCCTGCCTGTGCCTGGACCTATCCACCAGCCCTCCTCTCCACCCCCCTCCAACCTCTGATCTCCAACCAGAGCCCTTAGGGGCTGGGGCCAGGCTTAGTTCTGGGCTTGTCAGGCCTGGCCATGCCTGGAGAGCCGCTGGGGGTGACTCCACACACTGGTGCAGCCGCTGAGCCCCAGCGGTTCTCCAGGTCTCCTGCTTGGGACTGGGCTGTGGCCTTGGGAATAGGAGGAAGGACAGGAGCTCTTTGTGTTTATGTTTCTGGGTGTGTGCATGTGTGTATGTGTGTACGTGTGTGTCTCTGTGTGTGTATGCATCTTTGGGTGTCTGTGTATAGGCACTTGCTTTGTGTGTGTACATGTGTACTTTCATGGCCTTGCAGAGTGAAGCTGTGGGCAGATACCTTCGGCGGGGACCTACATGACACTGTGACCAAATACTCGGGCTCCCTCTTGCTGCAGAAGGTCAGTCACCCCTTTCCAGGGGGTCACAGGGCAGTCAGTCAAAAGGCAGTCAGCCAGGGTCTCCTTGCTGGTGGAGAAGCAGAAGCCCAAATGCCAGTGCTTCGAGGGGCCCTGGACATCGTCTAGTCTATTCCCTCATTTTCAGATGGGCAAACTGAGGCCCAGGGAGGTGAAGGATTCGCTGCCATCCTGGCCCTGCTAGGCCAATGTAGCAATGACAGCTAAGGCCCCACCTGCCCCTCACGACTTGCTTCTATGTCACAAAGCACCACCCCACTTGGCTTTCTCATTTGCACCCTCCAGCCCAGGTGAGGAAGAAAGGCCAGCAATAATGTGGCGTTTGGGGTAAAAGCATCCTATGAGGTCTATGCATTCCAGAGCATTCTCTAAAGCTATGCAAATGTCACATCTTGCCGATGAGGAAACTGATTGAGTGACTTCCCTGTGGCAGCATGGCCAACAGCTTGCAGAGCTGGCCCACCAGACATCCGTGATCCACACTCTCTGAGAGAGCTGGTCTCCCCTAGGTCCAGAGAGTCAACTCAAACCCAGTCCTAGGGCCTCTGGGTGCACCTGCAGCTTGTCAGACAGCTGTCTTCAGTGCCTGGAGCTGCTGAGCTCTGTGGGGACGTGAGAATCGAGATCACACCCATGTGTCAGGGGCAGGATGATAGCATGATGCATCTCCCGGTGCTCTGGGGAGAGGTGAACTGATGCCAGGGTGGCTGTGCAGGCCCTGGGAAGCAGCGTGACTCCACACAAAGTACAAGGATGTGGATATCTGGGCATCTGGGCACCCTAGCCCCACCCAGGGCCACCTGCTCACCTGCCTGTTGACCTTGGTCTTGTTCATTGGCTTCTTTGAGCCTTGGTCTACTTCCCTGTGAGGGCGGTTAACCACAATGTGTCTGGAGCCCCAAAATGGAGAGGATGTTGGAAAAGAGGCAGCTGTATTGTTTCTGGGACAATTGTGCAAGGAATGGAGGGCCCTGTCCTGCTTCTGGCGAGTGAAGAAGGCTTCAGGTGCTAAAATGCATGTGCTGAAAGGATGGAGGTTGTGCCTACGCAGGTGCCCACCTTTCCCACTGTCCCCTGCACAGAAATACAAAGACGTGGAGCCCAGTCTGAAGATCAAGGAGGTGGATGGCTTGGAGCTGGTGAGGAAGTTCTCGGAGGACATGGAGAGCATGCTGCGGAGGAAAGTTGAGGCCGTTCAGGTGCTCTGGGGGGTCTCCCCCTGGCCCCAAGATGCTGAACGACCCCTACCAATACCCTTCCCTGGGCCGTCCCATCCTTGTGGCCCTCTCTGAGCTTGTGAGCCTCTGCCGTGTCCCTCCATTAGCCAGAAGAACCCTTGTAAAAGAAGAAAGGATGAGAAGGGAGCTAAAGGAGGGGGCATCCTGGGTGTGGGAGCTCTGGCCCGAGCTGGGGGTGCCCAGCACTACAGGGTCAGCCTGGGTCGAGAGGGGCTCAGCACAAGGTGGGCCCAGTGCCCGCTGCAGAGCACTGCACGGAGAGAGCTCCCAGGAACTGCTTCCTGAGCCAGTGGACGGCTGGGAGCACAGCTTGCCAAGCCAGCCCTCAACTCTCTTCTCCCCTCCCCTTCCCTCAGGGTCCTCCCCGCCTGTGCCTGGACCTGTCCACTCCTGCTCCCTTCCCCTCCACTCTGACTTTGCTCTCCCCTTCTCTTCCCTCATTTAGCTCCAAGGACCCATCCTGCATGTCCCCAAGTGCTCAAAGGGCCCCAGGGATGGGTAGCTTTGTGCTTGGGTGACTCTGTCCCTGGATGTCCCCTGGCTGGGCCTGGTAGAAACAGAACATGTCCCTTCCCTAGTAGGAAGTATCTCCCCCAGATGCCTGTGGGGACCTGGTTGGTGAAATCAGTAAATGCAGAGTTCGGGGGAGGCACAGTCCCCACTCTGCCAGGACCAGCGTGGCCCCTGAAGGACCCCTGACACCAGCCAGGAGACAGGAGAGAGGAGTTGGGGGAGGGGAGGTTGGGGCAGCGCCCAGCGGCAGGGGAAGGTGCCTCCCCATCACGCTGCCCACAGGAGGTGCCCAGAGCCGGTGGCAGGGGCCCTCTTTCCTATATGTTCCCCAGGCTTTGGGGCAAGGGCTCCTAGCATCAGAAACCAACGAGATCACACCTGGGGGTCTGAGAGCCCATCCTGGGCCCCTGAATCACGTGAAGTGCTGCCCCTCCCTTGGCCAGCTTGTGTGACCAGCCCGCTGGCCAAGCACAGACACGGGGTGTGAGGCTCGCCTGACTTCAGGCGTTGGTTCTTGTGGCCCCAGAGTCACAAGCCGTCCTGGGACATCCCAGAGGCTGGGGATCCAGGCCCCCTGTGCCCTTCCTCGGCCTCAAATGTGGAGAGCCAAGTAAGGGCTTGCTTGAGGGACTCAACAAGCACCAGCCCCTGCTCCCTGTTGGGTGTCGGGGTCTGTGGGACTGCAGACCTTCTAGGAGACGCTCATGGAAGTTTCCTGCAAAGCAGCACTGAAGTATGTTTTTCCATGTGGAATTTCTTCATCATATCCTAGGAATTAGGACTGAGAGTAAGGAGGACAGGGATTAGTCTACCCAACTTACAGTTGTATAAGTAGAGGCCCAGAGAGGCTTAGTGGCTGGCCCCTGGCAAAGCCAGAGCAGGGGCTCAAGTGGTCTGACCCCCAAGGTGCCTTCCCTGGCCCTTCCTTCCCCTGACACTCTGTGATGCTTTTAAATTTGTACTGTAGTAAAATACACGTAATATAAAACTGACCATTGTAACCATTTGATGCTGTACAGTTCATTGGCATTAAGACCATTCACAAGGGTGCACAACCATCTCCACTATCAAGTTCCAGAACTTTTTCATCACCCCAAACAGAAGCCCTGTACCCATGAGGCAGTCACCCTCCCATCCCCGCCCCCCGCCCCCCAGCCACTGGCAACCACTGATCTGCTTTCTGTCTGCAGATTTGCCTGTTCTCGAGATTTCACACATTTGCAACTGTGTCTCTGGCTTATTTTGTTTAGCATAGGCCTTCGAGGTTCGCCTGTGCTGCGGCATGCATCGAACTTCCTTCCTTTTATGGCTGGATAATATGCCATTGTAAGGATGCCCCACATTTTGTTTATCCATTCAGCAGCTGATGGACATTTGGGTTGTTTCCACCTTTTGGCTTTGAATATACATGTGCACGCAAGCACATATTTTAATAAACTGTTTTTAGAGCAGTTTTAGGTTCATGGCAAAATTGAGCAGAAAGTACAGAGTTTCCACACCCCCATCCCCACACACCCCCCTCCCCACACACCCCCGTCCCCACACCCCCCCGTCCCCACACAGCCCTGCACCACTCTCACCTGCCTGCCTCAGGGGGTCCATTGTTACGATAACGAACCTGCACCCACACATCACCATCACCCAGAGTCCACAGTTCACTTTAGGGCTCCTTCGTGGTGTACATTCTGAGGGTTTTGACACGTGTAGTCACATGTATCCGCCATTATAGCATTGTACAAAAAGGTTTCACTGCCCTAAATGTCCCCACCACTGACAACCACATCTTTTCACTCTTTCCCCAGTGGTGGCTTTTCCAGAATGCCGTGTAGTTGGGCCCCCATAGCACATGGCCTCTTCAGATCGGCTTCTTTTACTCGGCAGTGTGCACTGGCCTTGGGCTGCTGCGGCTGTGTTGCCATGAGCATCCACGCCCAGCTCTTGTTTGAGCCGCTGTGTGCAATTCTGGGCACCCATGTCACGTGGGACGCCAGGTCACACTCTTTGTTTAGTTGTCTGAGGACCTGCGGGCTCCTTATACCCACTCTCTCCCCTCGTGTTCCGGCCCGCAGAGCCTGGTGGCGGCCGCTGAGGAGGCAGACCTGAACCACGAGTACAACGCGTCCCTGGTGGTGAGTCCTGACCTGGCGCCGGGTGGCCGTGAGGGCGGCAGTCCACTCACCACGCAGGCGTGCAGGCACACGCTGGCCTCTGCAGAGAGACCTCTTCTCGAACTCGAGAAGTTCACAGGCCATACTCTAGCATAAGGCGCGTAACAAGTCCACACAAACGGGTCACAGAGAGTTAGGAGAAAGCAGCCTGGAGAAAGCAGGGCGCCCAGACACCAGCAGACAGGGTGGCCCAGGGCCAGGCCTCAGGCTGAGGGGCACTTGGACAGGCAAAGCAAGGACAAGGGGCTTCTAGGTGCAGGGAAAAGAGCAGACACAAATGAGAAAACAGCGTTGGCTAAGGAAACGGTGGGTGCTCACCTCCCTGTGCTCAGAGTTTGGCGACACAGAGTGGCGTTGGAGAGGTGGGTGAGGGCCTGGTGGGGAGCCAGGAATGCCAGGGAGGAGTCCTGCCTTTCTAGCAGGGCGTGGCGTAGCTGCTGTGGCGGGTTTGAGCAGGGAGGGACGCAGCCGTGGAAGGCTGAGGCAGGTCAGTGTGGGGTGTCGCCGCAGCAGTCCTGGTGGGAATGATGGGGGTGAGCCTGGTGCTGAAAAGGGAAGGGGACAATCCAAGTGGACCCTCCAACGCCATGCACAAGAGGCGGAAGGCAGCTGCTGGCTGCTCCAAGAGGACACCAGCCTCAGGCTCTGGACCCTCCCACGGGGCAGGAGTGGTTGTGCTGTGAGCGGTCTCTTTTCTCCTTGAGTCTCTGCCGGCTCTGTCCCTGGCTGTGTGCCCCCGGCAGGAGGTGGGAGCTAAAGCAGTAGTCAGGACAGCCTCCATCAAACCCTGCGGCTGTGTTGCCCTTAATCCCCTCCGGCGGCTGCATGCACGCTGCCCTGTCACCCTGACCATCGCTGGAAGTCCCCACCAGGTGGCTCGTGTGGTCTCTCGTGGGGCCTGTGACCTGTGCCTTTGTCTCCCTCTCTCCCTCTGTGTGTCCCTGTCCCGGCGTCCCCACGCTCCCCCCCCCCAGTTTGACTACTACAATTCCGTCCTCATCAACGAGCGGGACGAGAAGGGCCACTCCGTGGAGCTGGGCGCCGAGCTCGTGCTGGAGGCCAACGCACACTTCAGCAACCTGCGGGTGAACACGTCCATCAGCAGCGTGCAGCTGCCCACCAACGTGTACAGCAAGGGTAGCCTCGCCCTGGCCTGCGTGCGGGGCTCGCCTTCTTGGTGGCTGTGGGTGGGGTGGCACTGGCAGCCTTCGACAGTTCGTCTCCCTTTTCCCGAGAAGCCCCGTGGGGTCCTAATCTGTAATCTCCTCCTTCAGACCCAGATATTTTGAATGGAGTCTACATGTCTGAAGCTTTGAACCCTGTTTTTGTGGAGAACTTCCAGAGAGACCCAACACTCACCTGGCAATATTTCGGCAGCTCCACTGGATTCTTCAGGATCTATCCAGGTAAGGGCCTGGGATGGCATCTCCATGATCCTCTGGACTCCTTCTCTGGGAATAAGACAATAAGGACACCGGAGATGGATGCTGGCACCCAGGTCCCCAGGGAATGGGGCTGGCCTTCCTACCCAAGAGCACGTGCAGCCCATGCAGGACCCCACACGTTCAGCAACGAGCTATTGGCAGTTGAATGAGCGAATGGGGCCGTCAGACCCCGTGGAACAGCCGGTGAGTGCCTGCATGAGCTCCTGCCCAGTGACAAGCACCGAAGGAGCTGCAGAGAAGGATGAAACAATTCTTTACCTTAAAAAGTTCGGACCCTAATTGGAAAAATGAGGTCTACTTGCCTGGAGTGCTCAGCAGCAATGCAGGAAATGCCACAGGTTATTCTGTGATTAGTGGCCAATTTAATAGTATGGGGAAAGCTCCCTTGTCCACCAATACGAATAGAAGGCAGAACATGTATTACAGAGTTCGCAAGAGATCTGCCTCTTTTTACTTCCCATTTAAAATAATTCACCTCTCTGTTTCACTATTTCACCCCAACTCACTTGTTTTTTAGAGGTAGGGTCTTGTTCTATCACCCAGGCTGGAGTGCAGTGACACAATCATAGCTCACTGTAACCTTGAACTCCTAGGCTCAGGCGGTCCTCTGCCTCAGCCTCCCTAGTAGCTAGGACTATAGGTGCACACCACCATGCCCAGCTAACTTTTCTATTTTTGGTAGAGCCTGGATCTTGCTATGTTGCCCGAGCTGGTCTTGAACTCCTGGCTTCAAGCAATCAGCCTCGGCCTCCCAAAGTGCTGAGACAACAGGTGTGAGCCACCATGCCCAGCCCTAACCCATCTTTATATTTAAGCACACAGTCCAGAAAGTCTTAAAGTTACCCTACTTTTCTGAAACAGGAAGCCAAAGAGGCCCTAAGACCCCTCTATGTCCACAGGCTGGAAAAGCCAAGCCCTGTCTTGAGTGCGAGGCCTCTCAGGGCTCCTGTACCCCCATGATGAGCACACCCTCCTGTGCTCCTCTGCCAAAGTTCGCAGCTAGCCGGCATTCCCATCTCTCTCCCTGGGAGACAGAGTGAACACGCTCGTCCCTGTTCCCTGTAGCAGCTCACACACCCTCACATCTTCTCCAGGGTAGAATTCCTGTAAACGGTTCTGACACATTAGGGCTTCCAGAGTCTCTAACTTGCATGCAAACAGTGCAATCCATTGTGAGTTCATCAGCAAGTAGATAGGGGCCATTTCTCACACCCTCACATACATTTGCATATTCAAATCTGCCCTTGGTAGACAGAATTAGATTGACCATAATTCTGAAGTCATGGCCTACAATCCCCATAGGTCCAAGCGGGCCCATTTTAATTTATTTAATTTACAGCATAATGAAGACCTGTCTACACAGCACCAGCCCAAGATCCAGACTATTACCAATAACTTACATACACCTGTGCACTCCTCCCCTGTCCTGCCCTTACACTCTCCCACAGGCCAGGTAACAGCTAACCTGAATTTCCAGCTTATCATTCTATTTGGATTTTTTTACTTTGTTTGTTTAGTTTATCTCATACACATATGTATATTTAAAAATTTTTTAGTGTGGTAAAATATATATATAACATACAATTTACCATCTTAACTGTTTTTAAGTATGTACTTTTGTGGTGCTAAATACCTTCCTGTTGTGGTGCAACCATCAGCACCATCCATCTCAAGAACTCTTTTTATCTTGCAAAACTGAGACTCTGTCCCTATTAAACAACAGCACCCCAATCCTCCACCCCTTGCAACTCCTCCCCCTGGCAACCACCATTCTACTTTGTGTCTCTATGAGCTTGGTCACTCTCTAGGCACCACATGTGCGTGGACTCATACAGTGTTTGTCATTTTGTGATTGGCTTAGCATAATTTCCTCCAGGGCCAACCATGTTGTAGCAGGTGTCAGAATTTTCTTCCTTTTTAAAGCTGAATAATATTCCATTGCGTATATTACCAGGTAATGTAATATCACGTTGTATATACCCATGCATCTGTCAATGGACATTCGACTGCTTCCCCCTTTTTGGCTATTGTGAATAATGGTGCAATGAACATGAGTGTGCAAATATCTTTTCAAGACCCTGATTTGAATTCTTTTGGGCATATCTGCAGAAGTGGAATTGCTATACATGTGGTAATTCTACTTTTAATATTTTTAGGACCTGTCATACTGTTTTCAACAGAGGATGTACCACTTCACATTCCCACAATAGTGCACACAGACTCCAATTTCTCCACATATGTACCAAACTTATTTTTCCTGTTCTTATTTTTTTTTTATAGTAGCTATCCTAATTGGTGTGAGTTGGTGTCTCACAGTGGTTTTGATTTGTATTTCCCTAACGTTTAGTGACATTGAGCATCTTTCATGTGCTTATTACCATTTGTATATCTTCTTTGGAGAGATGTCTACTCAAGTTCTTTGTCTATTTTTGAATTGTTTTTGCTTTCATTTTTGTTTTTATAGTCATTGCTGAGTTTTAGAAGTTCTTTATATATTCTGGATATTAGTCTTTTATCAGATATGTGATTTGCAAACACTTTCTCCCATTCTGTGAGTTGCCTCTTTACTTTATTGATACTGTCTTTTGATGAGCAAACTAAAAATTTTCATGAGGTATAATTTGTTTATTTTTTCTTTTGTTGCTTATGCCTTTGGTGTTATATCCAAGAAATCACTGCCAAGTCCAATGCCATGAATCTTTTTCCTTGTTTTCTACCAGAGGTTTTATAGTTTTAGGTTTTACATTTCCATTTTGAGTTAATTTTTACATATGAGGTTAGGTAAGAGTCCAACTTTATTCTTTTGCATGTAGATATCCAGTTGTCCCAGTACCATTTGTTGAAAAGACTGATCTTTCCTTATTGAATGTTTTTGACACCCTTGTAAAAAATCACCTAATAATAAATGTGAGGGTTTAATTCTGGGCTCTTTATTCTATTTCATTGGCTGATATATCTGCCTTTATGCCAATACAACACTGTTTTGATTACTGTGGCTTTGTAGTAAGTTTTGAAATCAGAAAGTATGCCTCTTCCAGGTTTCTTTTTCTTCCAAAATTGTTTTGGCTATTTGGGGTTCCTTAAGGTTCCATACAAATATTAGGATGAATTTTTCTATTTCTATAAGAGACATCATTGGGATGTTGATAGGGATTGTATTGAATCAGATCACTTTGGGTAATATCGGCATCTTGATAATATTAAGTATTTCAATCCATGAACATGGGATGTATTTCCACTTATTTTTGTCCTTAATTTCTTTCTGGATAATTTGTAGTTCTCATTGTACAAATCCTTCACCTCCTTAGTTAAGTTAATTCCTAAGTATTTTATTTTTTTTGATGCTATTATAAATGGGATTATCTTCATAATTTCTCAGATTATTCATTGTTAATGTATAGAAATGCAACTAATTTCGTGTGCTGAGTTTGTATCCTGCTACTTTGCTGAATTTATTTATTAGATCTAACAGGTTTTTTGTGTGTAGAATCTTTAGGGCTTTCTACATATAAGATCATATCATCTGTGAACAGAGATCATTTTACTTCTTCCTTTCCAAGTTTAATGCCTTTTATTTCTTTTTTATGTCTAATGTCTCTGGCTAAAACTTCTAATACTATGAATAGAAGGCAAAAGTGGACATCCTGGTCTTGTTCCTGATATTAGAGGAAAAGCTTTCAATCTTTCACCATTGGGTGTGATGTTTGTGGTGGGTTTTTCCATGCAATTTGACTTTGAGTTTCTGTCTATAGTGTCCTTTCATTTCACTCTGCAGGACTCCCTTGAGCATTTCTTAAAGGACAGATCTAGTAGTAACAAACTCATTCAGCTGAGTTATATATATTAGTTTCCTCCTATTGAAGTTTGTTGAGTGTTTTTTATCATGAAAGGATGTTCAATTTTGTCAAATACTTTTTCTGCATCAATTGTGATGGTCATAGGACTTTTCTCCTTTTCATTCTCTTAAATGTGGTATATTACATTGATCAATTTTCCTATATAGAACCATCCTTGCATTCCAGGAATAAATCCCATTTGGTGTATATCCCACCATGGTATATAATCCTTATAATATGCTGCTGAATTTGATTTGCTAGTATTTTGTTTTTATCCATTTGGCCAATCTCTGTATTTTGATTGTAGAGTTTAATCCATTTATATTTAAAGTAACTACTGATAAGGAGAGACTTATTTCCATCATTTTACTATTTGTTTTCTTTTTTTTTTTTGTACTAAACACACAATTTTATTCTTAAATGAAAATATATCTTAGATACTGTTGCCAAATTAATATTTGGGTGTATCTTGCCAATACAGAATGAAAACCAAGAACACTGTGAAAATTAGGCATAGATGTGGTAAAACCAGGTCTCTCTAAACTTTTGATCATATCTGAGTTTTAAAATAATTACATTGATTTTTTTTAACCTGCCACTTATAATTTTTTAATGTACTGTGTTATTTAAAAATGCTGAGGCAGCAAACATTTAAATAAATCCCTGCTGTTTGGGAATGATGTTTGAATGACAGATGCTGTGAACATATTTGCTAATTTATATGATATTTAGATTCTAAATGATACAGCTATTTAATATATCTTATGTTGATTACTTGGTATTTGAAAATAAGTATATTTTTCTTTTGAGTAGCCTTTGGAAAAAGTACACTGAATATATTTTCCAGTCATATGTTACTTTCTTAACCTGTACTTACTTAAAAATCTTCTTATCTGGAAAGTTAAACAGTAGGCAAACCAAAAGTCCAGCAAATTTGACTTTTCCTGTCCCCCATTTTGGTTTGCCCACTTACAACCATCATTTCTCTGAAAATTTTCCAATTAATCTATCAAAAATCAATGCTCTGAAAGTTTGCTAAAAGGTTCAGCAGTCTTTTGGTGCTATTTGTTTTCTATGTGCTTTATAGCTTTTCTTTATCACTCATTCTTGCATTACCATCTTTTG